GGGTTCGGATCCCATATAGAGACCGGTCTGCTCACTGGTTGAGCACGGTGCGGGCGCGACAGCGAGGGTTGCGATTCCGTTGCCGGTCATGAAAAAAGACAAAAAGGGAAAAAAAAAAAAAAAGACTCCACTAAAAAAGAGGCAAGGACCCCAAACATAAATAGTAAACACACCTCAGAAAGTTGCTGATATATGATCGTACTCTGTGCCTGTGTGTGTGCCTGTGTGTGTGTGTTGGTCGGTGAGGAACCTCACAAATGCGATTAAACTCCTCAAGGGAGGAGCCAAGGTGGGAGAATATTCTATTCAGTTCCCAGGATACTGTGAAGTGCTCAGTAAATATTAAACACAGCAATCACCAGGGGCAGGTGGAGTCCAAAGTCAACAAGCATCTGGGCAAACACAGTGGTCCAGGTAAACTGTCCCCCCACAGTAGCCTAGATAAACTGTTCCCCATCCTGTCAGGAGGCCTGGTCTCCATAACACGTGAAGAAGAAAGGTCTAGCCCTCGGTGTGAGCTCGGCAGATTGCAGCTCTGTCCTGAAATGCCTTCTTCTACCTTAGGAACGTTATGAATACAGGCTGCCAGCAGCGTTTCTTCTGCGGTAGGGAAGAGCCATGAAAAGAGCTAATAACTGTGCTTTGGTTGCGTGGCTCTTCCTAAATCTGACTGCTTCAGCACAAAACAGAATGCAGGCCTTTGACAAATAGGGTGTGTTTGTGGGTCGCCAGTGTGTCCAAATCTCATGAGGTTTCACCAGATGAAACTGGGCTTGGCAATTTGGACCAGCACCCCCAATCCAGGCATTAAATATTGGGGAGTAGAGGTAGAACCCTCATCAATTTGGTGCCGATTTCCCATTGCAGATATTACCTGTTGTNATCAGAAACATTAGCCCATTATGGGGTGACCCTTCTGGGAGCAGGAATGTGTAGTTAGGCCTCAAAATATGTCTCCTAGAGCCAGACAGCACCAGTGGTGACACTAAACATTGGACAAGTCCCATATCACTTTCTGGAGAAAAAACCAGAATCTTCCCAGCTCTTTTGCAATCTAGAAGCTCCCCCATTATACCGTAGACTCTCAGGTTCATTTATCCACAAATTATAGAAAACAAACCCAGCCCATGTTGTATCTATATCAGAGGTCTCCGATTCCTAAAATTAGGAGTCTCAAG